ATTGTTCTCTTAGTAATACTAATATTTGAATTTTGTATTCAATATATTGTTTTAATTTATTATCAAATATTTTATTGTTAACTGCGTATTATAAATATTGTATCACGTATTATGTAATATAAATTTACCTGCGTATTAAAAAATTAGATACTTTTATTTGTTTTATACATATTTTTATAATTACAACAACAAATGTCTCGTATTTAATCTTGTACAATTTATTTTGCAACCCCATAGTCTATGAGCTATAGATACAGTATACCGTGGTACAGTATTAAAACTTAAATATTAAGTAATAAAATATTAATTTAGAAATTTATTTATTTATTTATTATCCAACTATTGATTACTGATAACAGTAACGTTTTTTGCATTTTTCTTATGAGAATAGTTAACAATCAATAAATTAATTATAATAAACAAGGTGATAAAAAGTGACAAGTAAACAAATTCCTTAATTATGAATATCACGGAATAATCCTCAATATAATTTCCCACAATAAACGGTGTGACCAGGGTCAATAATCCTTTGAGTAGTCTGAATGTGGACTCAGTTTATTAGTGAATCCAATGTGTAGTTCAGTGAACGCCACGATCCCGGCATACATGACTGAAAAGCCCAGACACGTGCAAATACTGGCCACCCATAGGCATACCATTGAATACCGACCCGGAATCAATAATACTGTACCCGTAAACACAAGCATATGTGCGCTTAATATTGTTTTCAATTGAAACCTACATTCAATAAAATAAGTTTTAATTATGAAAATACCTTTTCATTGTATACTATAGTATATTGTATTACTTGTACGGGTAGAATATATTCAGGACGAGTCCGGCCGAGTAGATGGCTATGGATGTCGAGTATATATTGGTTGCACTTTCAGCCGACAGTCTGAGCGATGAGTACTGTTCAGTAAGTGACGCCAACTTAATGAACACCTCATAAATGGCATACAAGGAGAAGGTTAACGCAAATAAGAGAATAGCACCCATAGGTCCGGGGAAAGGGGTATTACTGCCGATGAAACGGTTAATAATACGAAAAACGATGCAAACATTAACTGTCTGCTTATATATTTAAATAATAGCGCAACTGTTATGAAAAAATCATTAATCATGTTATTAATAAATTAAAACATTTTATGATAATTCTTACCGAAAGTTCCCAGAATATAACCACTGGTTTCAAATGTGGTGAACAGTGACACCCATTTCATAGTAGTGTTGAGTATGTATTTCATGTCAACCATAATCGGCGAGTATACGGAATATACCATGGCCTATATTTGCAAAACATAATTTGATTATTTTATATTTTTATAATTAATACATACATAGGAAATGCCACTTCCAAACAAAATAGCCGTATACACATATCGATCCCATTTGGTTAAGTCTATCGGGCTCTTTAGGAATCCCATTTTTTTTGTAGATAGAAATATTTAATATGCTAGATCATACTAAGAATTTACTTTTATATACTTTAAATGCACTTGAACCTGTGCACTTGAACTCATGTTCATAAATCTTGATAATTGTCTTATGCACTTCAGTAATGATCATTATCACACACCCACTAAATTAAATTTTGTAATTATTGCTTACATTTATTGCAATTTATTTAATAGCAATTATGTTACTATATATCCTATAATTACTTTAAATTACAGTGGTATAAATAGTTTTTGTCTCTATGTATGTATGTATGTTTATATCTATGTATAAATTTTAAATTCAATAAAAATTCTGGCACATTATTTTAAATATTTAATACTTCTTTAAGCTCATCATTTAAACAATAAAGTGGTAATTGTAATAAAATATTATTTAATACTAAATTATAAAACTAAATTATTTTATTGTTGTATATTATGATTGAAAATTGTGATTATTTGAAATTATTTTTAAATAAAGTGAATTGAAGTGAGCAATGTATGATATGATAGATCATTTTGATAAAACACATTACATATTCACCTGCGGTTATGACTGGTTTAAATTGGTCTGTACAAACTAACTGTTTAATAAATTATGAATCACAATTAAACCATATATATATATGGGTGGAAATCATATTTTAGAAAGTTTTTACTGAATTAACTTTGGAGTGCTGTATATTTTATTTTATTTTTGTATAAAATATTATAAGATTTCTCAATAACAAGTAACTAAAACTATTATAATATTTATATTATTATTGCTTTGTATAAATAATAAATCACTACCTTATATATCAAA